GAGGTGGAGGTACTCACAGAGAATGGTAAGGAAAGTGCAGAAGGTGAAGCTCGGTCCCATCAGTCCCATCACCCTGAGGAGCGTTGCTGGTGTGCCATGTTGATGGGATATTTGTGCACTGCTGCACCAGCTGTGGCAGCTCTGTGTCTTCTCACCAGGATGGGAAACTGAGGCACTGAAAGAGAGAAGCGATCAGCCTGCCACAGAGGAGAAAGGGATCGTTAATTCTGCACCCTTCAGACTCATCACCAACCACTGCCCTACACCAGCAATCTCAAGGCACAAAATGCATTTTGGCATATGTAGAAATGTATCCATAAATGGGGACAGAGGGGGGAGGAAGCACCTTCTGTGCTGCTCACACATGGAGCACATCACCAGACCTGGAACACACAGAAAGACCCACAGCCAAAGCCAGAGCAGCACACACAACTCTGCCCTGACTCAGTCACTCCTCAGACTGACTCTGATTCTCTTCCAGGACATCTTTTATCCGTGGATTTTACGATGTGAACACAAAGGTGCAAGCTGTGGATCCTGGAGCCCACAGATGACTTTAACACACAAGCCCAATAAAGAAACTCCAAACATTCTCAGACATTTGATGGCCTGATGTATTTAAAAGGAAACTTTCTGGGTTTGACTTTTTCCATTGACAGAGGAATGAAATATTATTTGTCTGAGTGATAACTCAGTATAGTCTGTGCATGACAGAGAATGGCATTAAAAACTCCCTGCAGTGTCTAACAGCACACACTCACACTGGTTTTCTTAACCTGTTAGATCCATGCAGCTGAAGTGGAAACACCTAATTCTCCATATGAAAGTTTTAGATTATTGCTTTGATCATTAGCTCTTTATTAAAGTCAGCAACACTCACAGCAACCATGGTTTTACTGACAGTTAATCTTTTATTCCCTAAATCAGAACACCTCTCAGAAATAATCCTCAATTTATGTAACCCGTGTGTAGTGGCTCAGAGACCATTTAAATAAGTTTTAGCCTTAGTTCTTCCTTTGATTTTCTTTATACATTCACAATAGCCATTTTGAAGTAAAGTGCCCTACCTCCAGCAGTTCTGCCATCCAGTGCCTCCAAACTGGGTCATTCAAATTTTGACAGAAGTATTTGCTTTGTTTTCTTGCATTAGGGATGGTGTCGGGCTGATGATTCCTACTGTCAGCTTACATTGCAGATTAAAAATTGTATTTTAAATGCAGATGATCTTCTCTGGTCACAGCTTGAATAATCTGTTGATATGAATACACAGCATATACTGTAGAAAGTCAGCCAAAGACTCGTCTCATGGAAAAGAAGAAATAGAATTTGTTAGATTTGTTTCAACTCAGTTGAATTGGCTGCAACTGAAAAGGTGGAGACCTTAACGTATCTTTTTTTTTTCCCCAAGAAGGGAACAGCTGAGCTGCCTCTGACACCTGCCTTACTCCAGGTTTAAGTAGAGTCCCTTGAAATCCCTAATTCCCCTATGGGTGGGGTTAAATTCATCTGATTTCAGAAGTGTCAGGAATGGCTGTTCAGAGCTGTGCTCCCTCTGTGGGCAAGGAGGGGGTGGCAAACAATTACACCCTTAGGTAAAATGCTGCTCTGAATGGCAACTTTCCCTCCTCTGTCTGTAAAATGGGACCAGAGGGACTTCAGACACAGGCACTCATGTYTGTCMTGTGCAAGGCTATGAGCTGTCGGYGAAGGGAAGACTCGGACCACTCAATATTTATAAGCRAACTTCGATTTATTGTAAACAATGYCTAAGTTTTATAACATACATAATTAGCTCATACATATTCTGTAATACATATATTTCATAAGTCCACGTCTTACACGTCAATTCCACCTCTAATGATTCACTTACCAAATTTCCCTTATCTACTTCTACTTTTCCCCAAGGCTAACTAACACAAATACCTTGTAAGGAGTTTCCAGCAGTTTAGAAACATGATGTCCTTGCATTGCCTTCCCATCGCCTCAGAAGGATGGTTCGCACAATTTCAGCAATTATTCTATCTGAGCGCGACACCTGCATTCCTTCATCTCACCAAGCTGTAAAATATCTACATGACCCTTCTCAGCTTAGCCTGCCTTCCACAATGAGCTCTGCATCCTGCACCCGCTGGTGAATCACTGTCAGCCTGAAAGGCCTGAGCAACTGCTGGAAACACYGAGGGATGTGGAATTCCAGGAGCAGATGGATCCTGCTGCCTTTGTTTGATTGCACTGGGTGCCTTTACGGGCCCTGCTGTCTCTTGCAGGAGAGTTTGCATTCAGCCCCAGCCACTCACATTTCATTCTTCAATCTTAGGTGACTATT